AATCAATTCTAAAATGGACTTGAAGCCAGTGGAGTGATGACAGCACAGGAGTAATGTGTTCATGTCTGGACGTGTTTGTTAAAAATCGGGTGGCAGCGTTCTGCACAAGTTGGGGGCGAGAAATTGATGACTGACTGAGGCCAACATAAAGGGCATTGCAGTAGTCCAGTCTTGAACTAATAAAAGCATGGATTGCCTTCTCAAGATCCTGCCGACTGAGAAAGGACTTGACTTTGGCTAAAAGACGGAGCTGGAAAAAGCTTGAGCTGACAACGGAACTAATCTGTTTGTCAAATTTGAGCCCATTATCAAATGTTATCCCGAGATTTTTGACATGAGATTTAAAAAGGGGGGCTAGATTGCTGGAGTTTGTGGTGAGAACATTTGAAATTGATGGAGAACCAAACAAAATGCATTCGGTTTTGCTGTAATTTAAGTGCAAAAAGTTCTGTGACAGCCACTGCTTTATATCTGTGATGCAGTCCAGTAGCTTAGTAAGTGCAGTGTTTTCGATTGGTTTCAAGGGCAAATATATCTGCAAGTCGTCGGCATATAAGTGAAAAGACAGGTTGTGTTTTTTTACAATTGATCCCAGAGGTAGCATATATAAAGAAAGCATATTAGTACCAGAGTCCTAATGTGTCTGACCCAAGTCTTTGCAGTTTAAATAGAATATTCTATCAAATGATGATTTAGGAAAGGTTTAGTCTGATTTATTGACAGCTATTTAGGGTCAAATGCCCTCTAATATAACCTTCTGACTTGGTCCTTAAATGTGTTTTTTTTTTTTTTGCATTTTATTCAAGTTTTTATTTTCTCATTTCCAGGTGTGGGTAACGATAATGAGGGAGTGCTGGTGCTAGGAGCAACGAACATCCCCTGGACCCTAGACTCTGCCATTAGAAGAAGGTAAATGTTTTTTAAGTTACATAATGTCTTCTCTTCTTCGTGTTCTAAGTGCAAAACAAATATTTCAGATTTGAGAAGAGGATCTACATACCGCTGCCTGAGGAGCACGCTCGCTCCTTCATGTTCAAACTCAACCTGGGCTCGACCCCGAACAGCCTCACAGAATCGGACTTTACTGCTCTAGGCAAGAAGACGGACGGCTTTTCTGGGGCAGATATCAGCGTCATGGTCAGAGATGCTCTAATGCAGCCGGTTCGAAAGGTCCAGTCAGCAACCCACTTCAAAAAGGTATGTGTGCATTAAACCCCCTAAGGTTTGATTTAAGGGGGAAACACATCAAAGTTAATCTCACCCAATCTTCCTTTGTTGTGTTAAAAGGTACGTGGTCCATCCAGAACTGACCCAAATGTTATCATCGATGACCTCTTGACTCCATGTTCTCCTGGTGATCCCAATGCCATTGAAATGACCTGGATGGAGGTTCCTGGAGAGAAGCTACTGGAGCCAGTGGTGTCCATGGTGAGAATATACTAAAAGACTATAGTTGCTTGACATGTTTTCATTGAAGATGCTTTAATCTAAAACTGATTGGATTTGTTCAGTTTGATAGAAACAGCTCTGACTGGTATTAAGCGAGTCCTTTTTTTTTTCTGTTCTTCATTTTTAAAATATACTTATAGACTAAGAACTCACACCATTTACAGCCTTCTAATTCCTTTAGCATTAGAAGAGGGGATGCCAAAAATCAGATTCTACTTTAAATCATTTTTTATATGGGTTTTAATCAAAATTACGATCAAACAGTCTGAAGTACAGTTTTTCTTTTTCCATGTTTTTCATTCCTCAAAAAACAAACTGTAAACTGCAGGTCAGACAACAGAGAAACTCAAGCTGTGAATTGGTACTGGCTGAAAACAGTCTGGTTTAAAGTGAAGATATGTAACAACTTTAAAAGGAATCTCGTTTGTATATAGATGTGGACAATTTGATTCTCCAAATTGTTGCCATCATTTTATGGCAGTGTAGAATTACTACACTAATCAGGGCAGCTTGGGTGCTGTTGTACGACCGAGTATTAGAGTCAGGCTTTTTTTGATAATTTCAGAACTATCTCATAATATCTCATATCTCATTATTCTCGTAATTTTAGAATTTTATCTGGTAATTTTGCAACTTTATTCTCATAATATTGCGACTTTATTCTCATAATATTGCGACTTCTTATATTTTTATAATTTTGTCTCGTAATTTTGCGACTTTATTCTCATATTACAACTTTATTCTGGTAATGTTGCGACTTTATTCTTGTAATGTTATGACTTTTTTCTTGTAATATTATGACTTTATTCTTGTAATAATTACTTTATTCTCATAATATCATGACATTATTCTTGAATTGAAAAAAAAATCTCTAGTCTGGCCCTAGTACTCCGTCATACCTTTTGTGCTTATTTACAAAGAAAGTTTTTTTTTCTTGTTTGCATAAAACATTTTTTAAAGTTCATGTGTACTTCTGCTTTCAAAACAATCCACCCATTCTTAGGGTAACAACTCACAAATGAAGTCTTAATTATAGATCTGTGAACTCTTAAAAGAATTACATGTTTGAACAGTTTTCCTTCATCTTTCTCCTCTTAGCCCGACATGCTGAGGTCTCTGTCCAACACAAAGCCAACAGTTAATGAACAGGACCTGGAGAAACTGAAAAAGTTCACAGAAGACTTTGGACAAGAAGGCTAGATTGATCCAAAGAGCCAGACCAAAGCAACTGAAGTGTGATTGTCTCTTTACTGTCTTTGACCCTTTTGCTCTTTGCCTCATTCTGATTATTTTCTAAGCCCCATGGGTTACTGAAGTGCACACTTAAAAAGGGTGGAAGGTTTTTTTTTTTTTTTTATGTTCACTCCAGTCCAAAGAGAATCAAAAGCCTTCTATATGTAGTTGTCTTGCTTAGAAGTAAAAGAGCCGGCACTGGAAACTGAGTTTAATTTGGCCCTAAGTACTACAGACTTAAAAACACATTTGAGGAACCTTACAAAACACCTACGTCTGTATTGAAAGTTAGCTAAATTTTTGTTCTGCTTTACAAACTACCTTATTATTTTATGCATAATCCTTTTTTATGAAGATAAAATTTGTGTACCTTGCATGGTCCACATTGAGTTGGCTTCATAGGATCAGGTTTTATAGGTGATGTATCCTTAGAATGCAGTTGAATATAAAGCTTTGAAACCATCTTGGATACAAAAGCCTTGAAGATTTTTGTTATTATTTAAGTAATTTTCTAGGAAATCAGTTGCAGGCATATGTGTTAAGTCTTTGTCATTTAAATAAATATGGGCCTTTAAGAATTGCCGTTGTGGTTAAACCAGCATTATTTCATCATCCCTGAAGGACCCAATGGCTTTGAGGTATTTTCCAGCTCAGCAAGGGTTTCTCTCTATAAACAACTGTATATATTCATTTATACTAAAAGGCTTTGCTGATTTTCTTTAAAAACTTAAGAAAAAATAGGCCTTATATTGAAATAAAATCTATTTGGTTTCTAGCAAATTTGAGAGGTAAAAGGTGGACATTGATGGTTCAGATATATCCTCTGTGTGCATAACAGCAAATCTTCAGCTTACACTTAAAATAGCCATAAATGGCAGTTTGCACAATGTGCCTTCTAGGAAAATGCATGTTTTTTACTGGTTTGTTTCTAAATTAAGTCATACTTCTAATATATCTCAAGTGCTTTGTCACTACAACTAGGAAATGTACAATATATGTACATTTCAGGTATGCTCTTTTAGAGATTCTATACAAATGTACTCTGATGTTCTTGAGATGTGGAAACTCCTGTATTTTTTAAAGGGGAATGTCTTATTTTAGACTGTATGTCTGTCTACACATTTATGTAACCAATTCTCAGGCCTTTTCCTGAAAGAACAGGTAACTGATGCAGGGAACTGGTCCTTTTTTTTTTTTTTTTTGCATTTTCATTTCCTAAATGTAAATAAAACTTATCTAAAGCTATATCAACTGGTGTTTATTTGTTAATTTTTTTAAATTATTAATTATTTTTATTTTTTGTTTTACTTAGACTTGCGTTAAAACACAATATCCGACAACTGAAAAAATCAATGACATTAAAATTTATCTTCATTAATATAAACCTCTGGCACAACCTGAAACCTAATATTTTTTTAAGACCAAATGCACAGAACAGTTACAATGGTTGAAAGTTTATCCTGGACCTCAAGAGCCATGGATTCTGCCCTTTTCTATATATTGAATCAGATTAAAATGTGGATGACTGCATATCCCTGTAGTCCAGTCTTTTTTTTTTTTTTTCTTCTTTTATGATGTTTCAGATGTGACAAGGCTGTGACCCATAAATGGTAAATCTCCCCAAAATCTTGAAGGGGCATTGTTTAAGGTGCAAAAATGTCCCTGTTTTGCACCTTTTTTTTTTTATTCAAACCAACTTCTCAATGTTGAATACAGCACTCGGTGAACAACCAGCTTTTTAAACAAAGGCCATTTGTGATTTACCAAACAGATTTGAACACACAGTCCTCCAAATATTGTACAGGAGGTTACTAAAATGTACAAATTACAAATGGGAAATTGTATTATTTCAATTGCTGACAGACAAGGTTTATCTGTACACCACAAATAATAATGAAAATAGAAATTTGAACTTTACTCAAATTATGGAAACAGTTCAAAAGCTTGCAAGGTTGAAGGAACCCTTTCAAAATAATTTTTATATATGTCTTGTGGTACTGTTCAGAGGATATATTTTAATCGTAATTTCTTCATAAGCTATGACTGGAAGATTAAATAACGAACTGAAAACTTGTAATCATTTACACTTCGTGAACCGGATCTTTAAAATAAATTATATTAATATCGTTATTTCAATTTATTTTTTGGCAGGCAAAATATTTCGTCCTATAGTTCCATTTGATTCAGGCTAAAGTTCAAACAGCCTAAATCCTCCATTGCATTGTGGGAAATGCTGTCACTGTTCTTACAAACCAGCGGTTAGGATTCCATTGGAGAGCCTTCTTTAAAACTACAAGTACCAGGTACGACCGTTAAATCGCAGTTCACTGTACACAGTTCAGTTTGTTTAGTTTCCACAGCGCTTTATCGCAAGCGACTAAAGTCCATAACAGCTCGTTAACCTGACCTTTTTACGTGTTTGAACTGCTGCCAATCCGTGGAGCGACCCTTCCCCAGAGGTCAACGCTTCGCTCGCCGCCCTTTCCAGGCCCGTCGCCTGCCTTGTAGCTCTTATAACGGAGCGGAAAAACTGGCCTGCTAGTTAGCTCCCAAGCTAAGGTTTCCCCCATGTCCTCTGAGGAAGCGCTCAGCTCATCGATTACAGATTGGCTCTTTTTTCATTCTTGGTGGCTCCTTCTACCGTTCATCATGCTTCTTGTTGTCGCTGCCTTCATCGTTGCCTTTGTGCTGTTGCTCTACATGATATCGCCTCTAATAAGCCCCAAACCGCTAAAACTGAATGGGGCCCATGTCGTGGTGAGTACATCTATAGATATTGTTCGCTCTTTCCAGTGCTGCAGAGCTCTGCTATCAGAGTTTAACGCCAAAAAAATTATGTTCTTAGTAATAACCACATCTGCAACTACATATCTGTTATTATATTTATTTATATCTTAGATCCCAATATGTTTTGGAAAATTATGAAGTGACACGCCCACGTTAGATATGGGCTCTTGCTTAGCATGAGATTTATTTATTTTTTCCAACACTACAAATATGGAAAAAATAAAAAAAGGAACTATGGAAATGTATAGAATTTCCAGATGGAATAGGAACATGATTATTGAAGGATTTTTCCATTCATTGATGTTTTCTTTTTGCTGAAAATATGTTTTTTTTTTTTTTTTAAGCAATTGATAGTTTTTGAGTTACTGACAACATACAAAAGTTTTATATATCACTTTTATTTTGTTTTTTTTTAAAGACAATTTTTTTGCATTTCCTCAATTAAAAAAATAGATCTTAAGTCAATTAAACAGAAAAAAAATAATGAATTACAAGAATGATCTCAATTTCTGCACCAAAGTATGTGTCCTTAACTTGTTTTTATTCTAAACTGTCAATTTTCTTTTGTTGTTGTTGTTTTTTTGCATTTTCATATCCTCAATGTAAATATAACTTATCTAAAGCTATATCAAGAGGTGTTTCTTGGTAATTCAAAGAGTGAAACCCATGTAGATTAACTACACACTGCTGTGTTTTCGTTTTTAATTTTAGTATTTTTATTTTAGTTTTACTTAAACTTGCGTTAAAACACAATTTCCAGACAGAATACGAATGTGATTAAAATTTTTTGCATCCATCGATGTGTCTTTTGTTCAAAAAATACCATATACATATACATATACATTCATAGTTTTTGAGTTACTGACAACATACAGATGTTTTATATATCACTTTTTGTTTAAAAAAAAGCCATTTTTATTTTTTTGGATTTCCTCAATTAAAATATTAGATCTAAAATCAATTAAACAGAAAAAAATAATAAATTACAAGAATGATCTCAATTTCTGCATCAAAGTATGTGTCATTACCTTGTTTTTTTCTAAACTGTCCGTTTTTTTAATTAAATTTTTTTTTTTGCATTTTCATTTCCTCAATGTAAATAAAACTTATCTAAAGCTATATCAAGTGCTGTTTCTAGTAAATCAAAGAGTGAAACCCATGTAGATTAACTACATACAGCTGTGTTCTATTTTTAATTTGTAGTATTTTTATTTTTGTTTTTCTTAGACTTGCGTTAAAACACAATTTCCAGACAGAATACGAATTCAAGTGTTTCTGCATCCATTGATGTGTTTTTTGTTCAAAATATACCTTTTTTTTAAGCCATTCATAGTTTTTGAGTTACTGACAAAATACAAAAGTTTTATGTATCGCTTTATTTTGTAAAAGAAAAAAGTAAAGGTTACCTTTTCCATCGATACCCATTTTTTATTGCGTTTCCTCAATCAAATAATTAGTTCTAAAGTCAATTAAACAACAAAAAAATAATGAATTACAAGAATGATTTTTGCATCACAGTATGTGTCCTTACCTTGTTTTCTTTCTAAACTGTTAGTTTAGATTTGTATCATTTAGTGATTAAACCGGTATTGATCCCTGTTTGCATTTTTGTGTTTTAATAATCGTTTAGTGAATTTCTGATTTTCATTAAATTTTACCTCCTAAATAATATTTTGTGTTGGTATAGAAAGTCCTACCTTTATAAATGCTTTGACTACCAGCATCTAGAATGATATAAATGCTAACAGATCTGTCTGTAATTTTGAAATGAATGGCATTTAGGAGCCCTGGGTGTTTGACATTACCTCCTGGTTATTTCCCAGTAAATGTACAAAAGTTATTTGGAAGGAAAGACAAAAAGAAGCACCTCTTATGAATTCCAGGTGTGTTTTGAATACTCTGACCTTCGCTTGTTGCTGTTTTTGCTCCCGTGTTGTGTTCAGGTGACGGGGGGCTCCAGCGGGATTGGGAAATGCATTGCCATTGAGTGCTACAGGCAAGGAGCATTCATCACTCTGGTGGCACGGAACGAGGTCAGTGCAAACATTTAACCAGTCCTTCCAGTCTGCAACAAGCTGTTATTACAGTCAACTCTTTCTTTATGTCTAACCCTGCACAACTAAAGGTGAATTTGTTCCATGTCAGGTGAATGGTCATGTGCAAAATTTGGTTTAGTTTCTGTTTAACACTTGGTGATTGTCTTGGTGACAATTATTGTTCTTAAGATGTGCCTCTTAATCATCTAGGTCAAGTGTAAATTACATCATAGGTTTTTACAGTCATGCTGATTATTTTTTTATAGTAATGTATGTATATTTCTTAGAGCAGATTAATAACATGCAGTATTTCTAACAGGAGAAATTGCTAAGAGCAAAGAAAGAGGTGGAGAAATATGCCGTGAATGACAAGCAGGTAATTTTTTCTTTTAAATATCCGTCCTACAGTCAGACTATTTTCATTTTATGTTCACACATTCACAGCCAATGTAAATTTTTAAATATCTTTTTTATTAAGGTGGTGCTCTGCGTATCAGTGGATGTTTCCGGTGACTACACTCAAGTGGAAAATGTGATAAAACAGGTAATGTTACCCTCCTCGCTTTGATAGGTCATATCAGATTCTCTTAATAATTCAGAGTCGTATTGTAAAAGCTGGCTTTTGTTGCTATGCAGGCTCAGGAGAAGCTCGGGCCTGTTGATATGCTTATAAACTGTGCTGGGACTGCCATTTCTGCAAAATTTGAGGAGGTTGAGGTTGAACGCTTTAAGGTGAGTACAAATGGTTATTATGCAAATATTTCCAACTTAAGCGTTTAATGAGTGAAAAAGTTTGCTGTATGCAGACGGTGTAGAAAGCATGTTGTTCATACAGCAACAGCTGATCATACAGCTTTAATTTGTAGAACCTGTAGTAGAGCTGAGTGCAGCCTTCAAAACTTTGGTTCAAAGGTTACTCGTGTTGTCAACATTTGCCCGCCAAGGTTAAAAAAAAAAAAAAAGGCTTGTGATCTGTTTTGTTTTTACTCAGGATGAGATACTGGAGCCGAGATCCTGATCCAGGTGTCGGATCAGTGCATCTATAGTTTTTGGGCTCTTTTGTCACAGTTTATAATCTCTCTTTAATTTTTCATCACTTTTCCTCAAGCGGTCACATCCAGGTTGACTACAGTCCAATGGATTTTACATTTCTGAATAATATATATAGTAATAATAAAAATTTTTATAGATCTATATAAAGCTGTTTTTATCAGGCACATTAAGCGGTGGTACACTTTTTTTTTTTTTTTTTTTTTTACAATCAACTGAGAAAACTCTTTCCTTTTCCTCCTCTGGGCCATGTCAAGGGTTGCTGCTACCATGATTTATGTTACAGTTTTGGCTGCTGTATGGGTGTAAATCACACCTATCAAGGCGATTCAGTATCGATTGCCTGACCCAACAATTCGATTATTTTCGATGCTCAAGAATACACCATGATACGATTCGATTCGATTAATTGGTTCTTTTTTTTTTTTTTTGTACACCTTACAGGCTAGACAATAAATAAATCGATGAGAGCTGCAATAATGTTATGCATTTAAAATAAAAAAACAACAGCAAATAACAGAAGTAGAAAAGTTGTACTCAACCTATTCCTATTACTGAAAAATATTAACACCCCTGCATTACAGATTCTGAAAGGCCTCGCATAAAAAAATACTGCACAAAATAAGTGCAATGAGTGCAATGCAATACTTCGGCTCCAGAGTGTCGACATCCCCGCCCCCTCCACATAACGTCAGCTGCACCTCTCCCAAATTGTAGCTGACCGCAGACAATGCCGCAGACAGGAGGCCGGGTTGTTTTGTTTTTATGACCGAAATTGCGGAAAACAACTCTTAAAGTTGAACCAGCTATAAGAGCAAGGTGCGTGAGAACGCTGGGACCGTTTTTCCACTTGGATCTCCACTCTTTTTGGCCCTCATGTCCCTCTGTTGTCGGACAAACTCACCCCCACTTCCTCTCCAACTCGGCTGTATATCTAGACCCACAGCGTATAGCACGGACCATGCTTCCATATGGAGCATAAATAAAAAATGTCTGCGTCAAGCTCACTGCAACACACTGCTGCAGGAGTATAACCAAGAAGCGAGGTAGGAAGGCAAAATAGGTTTAGCGCCACCGCAGCACGGGAGGGAGAATTACGCCCAGGAGCAAATGATAAAAATAAACCAGAGGAAGAAAAAAAACATGAATTGATACTCTTGCGGACGTGTCGATGCATCGGATCGTTGGCTGTTGGATCGATGCATCGACACAATTATTATTTTACACCCCTAGGCTGCTAGGTACAATATTATGGCTAAAGATGCTTGGGTTTGTTAAGGACAGGTCTAATATGTAGAAGAAATTTGTTTTATAGAAAGAAATTAGCTTGTTGAAAAATAAGTCAGAGTTACTTTTTTATGTTTTAAGGATCTATTTCTTCATAACTTTATTTTTACGCTATTCTTTTATTTCCATGTTAACACCATTAAGCATGGATTTAATTGAAGTGGCTTCTTCTGATTTAGAACTAGCTTTTTTTTTTTTCTTTTCTTTTTTATTGATTTTATAGACAACCGATAGATTTGTATAAATATGCTGCCCACGTTTCTGTTGAATGTTCATGAAGCATTTAGGGGAGTAGGGGCAATGGTACCCTTCAGTTAAAGCACTGTAATAAACTGCACAGCCAGTGGATTAGAAAAGCAGTGAGATCTACTGTTTGTTTGTTTATTTAGTTTTTTGATAAGTTTCCTCTGAAACATTATGAAAGCATCCTGGTTGTGAAGTGAACTTTGACCTTACTTTGTGCAGGAAATGATGGAACTGAACTACCTGGGCAGCGTTTATCCAACCCGAGCTGTCATTACCACCATGAAGGAGCGAAGAATGGGCCGCATTATGTTTGTTTCATCACAGGCGGGTCAGATCGGCCTGTTTGGTTACACTGCCTACTCTCCGTCCAAGTTTGCTCTGCGTGGCTTAGCAGAGGCACTACAGATGGAGGTTTGTTTACTTTTTTGCTCCACTGGCTTGCTCTTCAAACCTATTAGATACCTGGCAGCCAGAGCTTTTGCAAACTTCAGGGAGCTGAAACAGTTCAGACTAGTTCTAGAGTTGTTTCTGAAGAGGAATCCCTTGTTCTTCTAGTACAAGGGATTCATAGAACAGTTTTTTTCTCTTCATGAAAGAATGCTACTGTGGTTAAGTTCATACTGAGGTCATATTACAAAGGGTTCTATTGATGTGTTTGCATATTTCCAGATAAAGCCATACAACATCTATGTAACTCTGGCATTCCCCCCTGACACGGACACTCCACTCCTGGCTGAGGAGAACAAATCAAAGGTAAATTGATCTAAAACTTGGTTAAAGAACATGTAGCAAATTAACAAATCCGCTGAATGGATTCCTTTTTATGGCTATATTTATTTTAAGCTAAAGATACAATAATTATAGCCTGGGTGCCATTCCGAACTTAGTCC